AAAACTTGATGATGTTGATGATGATGACGAAGCCATCGCAAGCAATCAAACAAAACAAGCAGGAACGAAAGGTACGTATATGTTTGTAGGAATATGAAAAAAAGTTACTCACGCACTGCACAAAATTCGCAAAATAAATATTAGAGACGTTAATTACTGCCGTAGACGCCGAAACACCAACGAGCCGTAAATTAAATGCGATTAAAAAATGTACTAAACCAAAAATTATTTTCGTTCGTAACAACTTCACCCTTTCAAGGCAAGTTTCGAATATAAACTGAAGCTTTATATTTAATGAATAAACACCTCAGGAACCTCCGCCTATGATTTTACAAGTTTTACGACTGTTTTATGACTTGGGCCCTCATTTTGTGCTATCGACAAATTATGAACGGACTATAGAGAAGAATTACTTTTCTGAGCAATATACGATTTACGAATTAAAAAAATAATCATGTGAAAGAAAGATTACCTCATTTTTCTTGGCTTTAGAATTTTCAACGAGATCTCATACGAAGATCGTAGAATGGCTTCCACAAAAAAGTGACGGAACTGGTCGATATTTGATGAAACACTTTATTATGAGATTTTTAGTCAACAGTTTACAAAACCGCGACACGTGTTTCACTATAAAATAGCTTCTTTTGGCATGTTCAATGCTAGTAAGGAACACACTTGTTCAATAGTAGAACTCAATAAGCCTGAAAAAGTGAAACACGAAGGTGGTTTCAAAAGTACCCGGCCTGACCTAGAGATGGCGGTAGTTGTTTGAAAAATATCACGGTATCAGAAATTACACAATCCATAATGCATATGTTTCTAGTTTGAAGACGCTGCGTTGTTTAGTATTTGTTTGGCAGCCATCAATAGCGAAAGATTTCGGTGAATGTGTGTGTTATGTGGTACGATGCTTTTATTTGAAAGGCATCAAGCCCAACCAATATAAAAGCTGAACTGGATTTTTCTCTGGATGAGTCTGCTCCTTTGAGTGAAGAAATCAATAAAAAACGGTAGCATTTGTTCCAACAATGCACCAGCTCTCAAATCCATTATCGCAATTACCATAATTAACGAATTGAAGTTTGAATTGCTACTTTATGCACCCTTTTCGGCAGATTTAGCCCCCTCGGATTATTTTCTGCTCCCAAACTTGAGAAAATGGATCAGTGTTCAAAGAAATGAGTACCAACTTTTTCCTAACGTTTGAAAAAATAAAAATCTGCACAACCCTGATGGTAGGCAGTATACAATTAAGTTTTCGAAGAAATCCGTTCGAATGCTTTACATGCAATGTTTATTACCGAAGTGCTTAGTTAATTCTGTTTCCATCAAAATAAAAAGTCTTCTACGGAAAGCGTTGTATCCATTTTCTTTTTGATGAGAACGTAAATCGATGAAAATAATTTTTTTTGGCGTGTATTCCCACAAAGTGTACACCTCCGAGATATAACTGTTATTTATGTTACACCCAGTATGTATGATTTCCCAATTGGGTTTTTATTTAATAATTTCGACTGAAAAATAACTGGTTTTCCTGACAAAGGTTTAACACGACTGCCAAACAAAATAATTTACTACTTTACCGTATTTACTTGGTGCCAACTTTCTCGGTACGAAGAAAACAAACAGCGAAAGTAAATCAAATAATTATTGGTGAAAACCAAACCGAATCCGGAAAGTCTTCAGATCCTCGGGGATTCATTCTACTGAACGTAATCGATCAATTACAGCGACGAAACTTTTACGAGGAACAGCGAAAACATCCTATAATTTATGATTTCAAGACTGCGGCTGGATGAAAATACCTATTATATTAGGTAGGGGGAAACTCTAACGAAGAAACGTCGAAAACCCCGAAAGCCAATCAAACTTATAAGAAGGGTTCATTGACAAAAGTAGGGGATTTCGAAATATAGTAGAGTTTTGCTTTAATTCACTAAGTGAAATTTTGTAAGGGTAGAAATTTCTTCCAATTGTTGATTCTTTCGAAATATATCAAGACGTTTCGTGTTTGAATACAAATGACACTGGATTAGGCTGGCAAAAAATATATTTATTGGAGAGCTATGCCCAAAAGTTTCGGCCTCTTTCCGAACTAGCGATTTCGATGTATTAGTAGGCTAGCTTCATAGAATGGTATCAAGCCAGTGAAGAAACAAAATTCCTTAAGTTTTTGGGAAACTGCCGTCAAAAATTCGTAAAGTACTCGAACATGTTCCAAAGTTGTGGAAATTTGATCACCACATTGATATTGAAATACACTTGAGGTGAAAATGATTTCAATCAGAGACCTTCAACAGTTCTGGACTGGCAAGTTATCCATTTTCTTTTCGTGGCAAAACTGAAGTCAGAAAACATTTTTCAAGCATTCACTAACTCGTTTACTCTAACATCCTATTGATTTTACTCTAACACCCTATTGAAATTTTCAGTTAGTATATTGAAGGAATGTTAGTGTCCAATTGGATAATGGATGTGCTACCATATTTTCGAAATCGATGTACTAGTAAACTCAACAAATTGCTCGTGATGTAATATGTTCTCTTTTCAGAAAAGGCAAAGCCGTGGAATACCACTTTGTTTTAGAATTCTTATGGAATGTTTTGAAAATCGTTTCTCATAGAGAATTCAATTTTCAAACTATGATATGTAAGTATTACTGCAAAACAATCTCAATATTCGTTCAAAAAAATTATGACGGACAATCTCCTGATTTTTTCCTGTATTCTAATTTACATTTTCATTAATTCATTTCATATTTTTCGACAATTGTATTTCACATTGTGGGGCATATCGAAATCGAAGGTTTGAAAATCCAACGAAAAATATTGATGGTTTTAGTCTTACTTCATCACACCAATTTTATTGCGGAGAAGAACACAAAAAATTTGCTAATATTGGTTTTTTCAAATCAAGCTTCTGACACCGAATTATTTCGAATCTATACGGTATCACTTCGAGTTTATACTGGCACAAAACTCCAAACATTCGATACAAATTCAAAAATATCGAAAAGTAAAAACTTACGTCTCTGATTTCCTTGATTTTTTGTCCGGCTTTTCCAATAACGCACCCAGCCTGGCTCTGGTGAATCATCATGCGCAAATCCAATTCGCTATCGTTTACACGAGCACCATTCTAAAATAAAAAAAAAATGTCTGAAAACATGAAAATATTAACGTCATCAAATAATGGATGAGACCACACGAATCATTTTTCACAACTAAAACAATTTGTCAATTTCAACCATTTTGAATACATTTTTCAAAACTTAAAAATATAGAAAATCCTCACAATATCAATTGATTATTGTACTAGGGCTCCGCCCGGCTACTTAATATGAATTCATCCACCGAAAATTTAAGGGCATGGAAAATCAGTAATGAAGAAATAATTATGTTTTATGGACGCGCCGTTTTCCCCCGCGACTAGCGCCCGATTTGGAATATTTGAAAATCCTTTCCTATTGCCTATCTACAACATAAAACGGACCTTCATATACAATTTTAGCTTCGGTAATTTTCCCTTTTTTCCTAGTGGAGGCTCCCTAGTTGGAATATTGGTAATTTTCATATGTAAACGCGCCCCTTTCATCCCCCGGGGGCGCCACAGCTGGAAGATTTGAAAATCATTTCTTATTACAAACTTACAACATGAAGCGAACCTACATACAAAACTTCAACCTCCGAAAATATAGCGGTACAAAGAAACAGTGATAAAAAGGTAAGGTAATTTTCATATGTAAACGCTTCCTTTTTATCCCCATTGGGGGCACCCTAGTTGGAATATTGCTAATTTTCATATGTAAACGTGCCCCTTTTATTCCGTGAGGGCCACAGTAGCAACATTCGAAAATAATTTCTTATTACACATCTACAACATAAAGCGAACATACAAACAGAATTACAACCTTCGAAATATAGCGTTACGGAGAAACAGTGATGAAAAGGTAATTTTTCATGATAAACACTCCCCTTTTATCGCCAGTGGGGGAGCCCCAGTTGGAATATTGGTGATTTTTATATGTAAACGTGTCCCTTTTATCCCCAGGAGGCGCCACAGTTGAAACATTTGAAAACCATTTTTTATTACACACCTAAAACATAAAGCGAACCTACATACAAAATTCCAGCCTGCGAAAATATAGAGGTACGAAGAAAACGTAATGAAAAATTTTGGAATATTGGTAATTTTCATATGTAAAAGCATCCCTTTTATCCCCAGGGGGAGCCACGGTTGGAATATTTGAATATCATTTCTTATTACACACCTACAACATAAAGCGAACCTACATACAAAATTTCAGCATCCGAAAATATAGAGGTACGAAGAAACAGCGATGAAAAGGTATTGGAATATTGGTAATTTTCATACGTGAAAGCGCCCCTTTCATCCCCAGAGTCCGCCACAGTTGGAATATTTGAAAACCATTTTTTATTACACACTTACAACATAAAGCGAACCTACATACAAAATTTCAGCCTCCGAAAAAATAGAGGTACGAAGACACAGTGAAAAAATCCTTTCTTAGTGCGTATCTGACACCAAAGAAGCACCTATACACAAATTTTAGCTTCCTAGGACTTACCAGTACGAAGAAACAGATGAATGAATGAATGTTAAGTGAGAGACTTTCGCATTTATAAGTATAGATGAAAATGAGCTTTGCATATTAGAGAATACTGAGAGAGAATAAAATGACAATTTTATAGCGCACTAATACAATCTTAAATTTACGGAAATACTTCAAAAGCTTCTCCACGGATCACTGAAAACAGCCCTCAATTGGTTCTCAAAGAGAAAACAGAAATATCCCCATTTCAACAACACACTGACTTATGCAAAAACGGAATTCCTCAGCAAATCCAAACAAGATTAATGTAGTGCTAATGCAAAGCTAAGGTCCCATTTGAATTAATTTGAAAGGCATCGTTCGAATTTCCTTCGAAAGGGTCGTCAAGACGACCGATGAGCGTTTCAGTAAACTCGGCTTCGTAATGAAAATTGAGCGGGGCGGCGGCGGCTGAAAATTGGAAAACTGAAATTGGTACACGAGAGATGTTAACGGGGTGAATTCTCACCTTTCGGGCTGTATATTGAAACCTTTGAATTGTTAAGGAGTTGCTATAGCGATGTTGGTTCGGCGAGATGGAAAGAATCTCGATATGATTTTAACAGCATCGCTCGAGAAACTGAAATAAGCAAGACGTTGTTCGAAATGATAGGATATTGCAATCAAATTCCAAACAATTTTACAGACTACTTTTATTTTTGGAAAATATCAGGGAGAGGACTAAGAATCTATCTGTCACATTTTTCTTGGTAGTGCATATTTCTTCGCATATTATTGAATGCTTCCTCGCTAGTTCAGTAGCCAAAAATACTCTGGAACATGTGCTGAAGTAGTCGAAAAACAATAATCTGAATTTAAATACATCAAAGACTAATGCAATGTTAATTACTCTGCATGGGCATAATCTAAGCAGACTTTTTGATGGTACTCCCAGTGAAATAGAAATGTCAACATCGGTTAAAATGCTGGGTATAACTTTTGACGCTAACTTAATCTGGACCCCACATATTGACAATCTATGAACAAAACTGAGAAAATCATGCTACTCTTTGAAGTTTATGGCAAATTATTGTAGTGAAGAGATGCTGCTGATCCTGTATCATGCTAATTTCCACTCCTACCTGAAATATGGCATTTTAAACTGGGGAAATTGCTGCTCTGTAAATAGAGTGTTTACTCTACATATGCAATACGAATATTGGCAAAACTAGGCTCTAGAAATTCGTGCAGCCATTTTTTAAAAAATTAAACATTTTAACAGTGGCAGGACCTATATCCTAGAAGCCTGTGTACACGTTTTCAAATAAAGATCTAGCAATATGGCTGAACGTTTACATAAATATAACACTAGAGGAAAACAGTTGCTACTACCAGTACGCCATCGTACTGCCCTCTTTCACAAAAGTTATGAAGTGAAAGGGTGCAAAATTTTTAATACTTCACCCGAGACTGTGAAAAACTGTAAAATCATATATGTGTTTAGAAAAATGACAAAACAATTCATATTACAAAATTGTTACATTTTTGAAGAATTCTTCAACTAGAACCTAAAGTAATTTTTTTAATCTGTGTGACTGTTTATAAATCATTTATTTGTTACTTATTGTATATATACAGCTATATGCTATATACAGGGCTTTTCATGATGAGCGTTAATTAGCCGTTTCTGGCAAACTATTTAACGGATCAACCCAAAAATTTCACAGTATGCATAAATCAATATGACCTACACGCCTAAAATATTTCAGACGAAGCGGCGTTGTCGCTTCTACTATAAAGTAGTGGCTTCTTTGATTTTTCAAATGGAACACCCCGTATATAATATCATATTATGATTCATTATCACTTTGTCAACAAATTCATATACTATTTCCCTATACCTATCTATTACCGTTTAGAAGATATAAATTAATTTCGATATTTTTTTTACCAAACATGAACTTGTATAAATGCTGATAATCTTGAACTCTCTTGTACTAAAACGATCAAATTTGGAATGGAGTGGAGTGATAATATGAGGATCTTCACTCCGGGTCATATTTTCATTTGCCTCATACAGGGTCTTCAAAAATCGCAGATACTTTGATCTCATGAAAATATGAGTGGAACTCAATTTTTTCAAATGGAACACCCTGTATATTTCAACATTTTTGAGCTCTACATCCAATTTTAGATCAACTTTGTTCAGATAATACTATTTCTATTTTGAACCGTTTTCGAGATAAATTGTTTCAAACGGAAACTGACGTGGTTTTCTTGCTCGTTTTTTTGATATTCAAATTTTTTTTTATACTTCTTTCTTCTTGATCCAGTTTTTTAAGTGTCTCAGATCAGTCAATTCGAAATTGGTATGTACCTCCCTTAGAAAAAGTTACAATTTGTATACATTGAGGTATTGGTCTCTAACGTACAACAGTACACATTAATATTTTTCAATAGTGTGCTTTGGAAAAATAAATAAACCAATTATTCAACGTCAGACTTTCGTTGGTGGTTTTGTCTGATTGTGATAGCTACCAATTATAATAGAATAATGTCAAGATTAGGTTACAGCAATGAAGATTTCTTGAATTCATTAATAATTTATGGTGAGTGCAATAGAATTGCAAGTAGAACATGCCGAGTATTTCATGAAAGATATCCACAACTTCCGAAGCCGAATAATAATGTGATGAATCGACTACTAAAAAATTGTAGGTTGAATGGAACCTTCCGTCCAAAAATCATTCGTAAGAAGACTAAAGTGGATGATGATGACAATGGTATAACAGTTTTGGGATACTTTCATGCATTTCCAATGCATGTGCATTTCCATGCACGCGGCTGAAAGGGAGATAGGTATACCCTACGTGACAATTTGTCGAATTCTTAATAAGCATAAATGGCATCCCTATAAGTTCTACTGTGTCGAACATTTGAAAGAGACTGATTTACCTCGTAGACTGGAATTCTTTGAATGGTTACTTGTCAAGACTCAAGAGGATGAACATTTCCTTGACAATATCATATGGACAGATGAGGCCAAGTTCACAAAAAATTGGAGTTTTCAATAGACACAACAGTCATTATTGGGCGCCAGAAAATCCCCATGTTGTCCGCCAAAGGGGTTTTCAAGAAAGATGGCAATTCAATGTATTTTGTGCCATAAGAATAAGTCAATTTTTTATATCGAGTTTTATGATGATAATTTGAATGCATCAAAATATGAAGATTTACTGAGGAATGGAATTCAAATGATTTTAAATAATAGACCAGGAAGAGAACGTGTATGGTACCAAATGGATGGTGCTCCACCCCATAATTCTCATTCAGTCAGCGAAGCTTTAACTGAAATCTTCGAAGACAGATGGATTGGTAATAATGGACCTTTTCGTTGGCCTCCTAGAACACCAGATGGCAATCCATTAGATTATTTCGTGTGGGGTTTCATTGAAAATATGGTTTACTCTACTCAAATAATAACAATGGGAGATATGAAATCGAGAATTACAACTGCTTTCAATAGTTTGACTTCAGACTTGATCAGAAGCGCTACACATGACAATCTTTTGAAGAGATTACATGT